CTCGCTGCCAATTCACACACGTGCACATATTTTTTCCGTCTCATCTTGTAAAAGGTTCGGGCACCGTTTATTAACGTCTGTGTAGTTTTGCGTGCTCTTGTAGACTAGGCGGTAAATAGATAAATGTCAGTTGTCATGCAACATTTCGCGGTAAGGGAAATATTAAAGGAAAAAATGTTTTTTTCTTTGATTTTATTTTTTTGCTTGTTGTTTGTTCGTCTGTCTTTTGTTGTTGTTGTTGTTTTGTTTGTTTTTGTTTTTGTTTTTACAATTGAAAGGGAAGACCCAAACTTTTCAGCTGTGCAGGCAAAAGAGAAGAATTGTTTTGTAAAGCAAGAGTCAGTCTCTTGGGAAGTGAAATTGCTGCCGGCTAGACAGGATAACATGTTTGTAGGCCTACTTCAAACGTACCAGAAAAGATTTTTTAAAATAAAAAGTATATTAGAAGATATTACGTTTAATAAAGTTTGCAAAAACGAAAGAAAATATAAAAGCGTGTTTAGTGGGACGCCGATGACGCTTTGTTTTATGCCAATCTAGATGAAACAACTTTAAAAAACCTCGAATATAGGGCCTTTACTTCTTCATTATGTGTTATTACGTGGTAACCAAGCTATTCTCATTGGAGTCGAGAACTGGACTGAGTAATTAACGCCATTTCTTGTTGTTATTGTTTTTTGTGGGTCTTTTTGTGTTTTTATTTATTTTATTTTTTTAATTATTTTTTTTTCTATTTTTTTAAAATATTTTTTTTTTTGGGCGGGGGGGGGTTGTTTGTTGGGGGTTTTTTAAGTAAAGAAATACTGCTTTCCTCAAAGAGGTCCTAGGATGGACGCCCAAAGCGGCATTGTCAGAGAAGCATCAGACTGGTGAATTATGTTCGAACATCGTGCAGACAAGCGAAATAAAACGCTGCGTTATGTTTTTCTATGTTCATATCAGAAAATTCATTTTCAATTTGTTATTATGTGGCAGACAATGCAATTTTGGCAATCGAATGAAAAGAAGCAATCATTTACATTTTTGACGTTTATATTATTTGCAATTTCACAGAAAGTAAAAAACAACAAATAAAGTAATTGTAGGAAGAGAGATGAGATCAATTTTGGGCTACTCCCCGCCTCGCTGCACACACACGCGCACACACACACACACACACACACACACCCACAAACGAACAAACAAACAAACAAACAAACAAGCACACACAGACATAACACTCACCCCCCACTCCACACACAGGG